TAAATAAGCTGTTTTATTAAATTTCCCTTGTTGATTATGGCGCTTATTCATAAATGTTACTTTGTCAGTACACTGATTGATGATCAGAAAAGATGTAAAGTACAAAAATGCTTTGAAGTATATTTGGTGATTTTATCACTGTAAAGCAATTTGATGCATGCGAATCCAATTCACCTATTGTACTTTGATAGGTTTATATTCAGTTGTGATCAAATAGGTTTTATAATAATCTTACAAAATTCTTATTCACTCAATGGCAGTTTTCTTTTTAAAACATGATTTCAAGTTATCCTACAGACATTCTAGTTGAGATTCTTTATGAGTTAGGTACGCAGAATTCAATAAATATTCGTTAACTGACCTTTCATGGTTGATTTGACAAATCATATTTTCAACAAATTGGCTGAAGGTATTCTGTAGGAAACCCAGTTTCACCCAGGTTTCAAGCTTACTGGTATCTTTGAAAGAACTCATGACTTCACCGAGACGTGGACCCGATTCACACTATATCCCTTTTAACTCAGTGGTAGCATCAATGACTACATCAATGGTCGAATTAGTTTTAGATCTCTTAGGCAGAACAAATTATCTGAAGATTGCAAACATGTCACAAACCATCAAACTCAAGTCAAATTGAACTTCCTAATAATTGCCTGGTGTCAAATAACATCCACCAAAGAGTATGGCAATGGTCAGTCTCCAAACCTAATGACCATATTTCAAACTCCGTCAACAGAATATTGTCATCATTTAGAACTAGGTAACATGCTATTATTTACTTTCTAGGAAAGAGTTAATTCATGATTTTTTCCGTCAAATAATTCGAAATAAAATTTAATCATTAGAAAATATTATTAACGAATGATACTTTCTCCAGTCCAGTAGGCCTATAAATATGCTCATAATAATACTTCATAGCTTCTTATTACGCCTTTTACTAAACCAATGAAGAGTTGAACATAGATACTACAAGCGAATCCACATCTAATTTGTTAAAACAAAAATATGTGATATATATATATATATATATATATATATATATATATATATATATCAGTAACCTTTTTCTTATACAGAAAACAAACTCACTTTGTTCCGTTGTATTATATGCTCCACAGCATATTTAAGATTGCAGCATCAAAATGCATACTTAGGTCTTCTCCAGTGTTTAAAGCACACTAATTATTACTAAGAAGTATGGCTCTGATTCATATGAACATATTTGCATAAGTGCTGTAGTACTAACCATCACTTCCTAATGATGAATGGTTAAAGATTTCCTGAAGAGAGTGATGAGTACTTTTATTAACCTTTATCTATTTGTGCTCCATCGTCTCATATTCTTTTGTCTACCTTAGTCTCATAATTTTTATGTCCAGTTCTTCATTGTATGCCACAGTGAATCGTGACAACTTGAACTGAGGTATTTCTGTCCCGGGTCGAATGTTGATATCCCTATTCTGTCTTCAACAAACCGTTGCAGTTGATCATAGGATAATTCACTCAGAAAGTATGTGAGGTTTTTTTGATTGAAAGCTGGTATTCATCCAGGCCTGATATCAGTTGTAAAAGCACTGAAAACCTGAGAGCACTGCACAACTGTTTCGTCCTACTACATGACTCCTCAGCAGTGCTCACGAACGACCCTACCAGGGACTAAACCCAAGACCTTCAGCTTCCGCTGCGAGCACGCTTCCATTGAGATACGAGTAGGAATTTAGGGGCGACATTTCTCTACTTCCATCAATTCGCGATATATTGCGATCTTTACCCGTTAAGTAACTATTCGGACGTCCGACTTGGTTTACCTTACCGATTGCAACTTCTCATTAGAACTTCCGGATATTCATCTCGAAGCATGTCACTAATCAGCACCGGAAAATAATTCAGTTTGAAAGTTTGTGGAGCTCGATGTTAATGTACTGGTTGGAAAACCTGAAGATTCTGGGTTCAATCCCTGACGGGGCCATAGGTGAGCACTGCTGAGAAGTTCCGTACTACAACGAAGTAGCTATCCAATGCTCCTAAGTTTTTCAGTGGTTACCCAATGGATGCCAGTTCATGATGAAAACCACCTTGACCGCTGAATATTCTAGAAATGAATTCTCAGCCATTTTCCTTATTGTCATAGTCTAGTTAAAAGGAAGTTGGAAACATCTTCAAAACAACCGTTACTGCTTTAGGTTTCACGCCAATCTACTGACCATTTAAGTTCGATGAATAATTTTACAGACCCTTTCCTATCTCTCTAATAAAGCATTTTTCTCCAAGTGATTTCTAATAACCAATCTTGATATCTTTTACCCTCTCCTATCTTGAAAACTACTACTGTCTGTCTCATTTTTATACATCTCTAGCTTATATTTCACCTCAATATTTCCCGATTTTATGCTTTTGACAATTACAATGAAATGAATCAGTGCACTTCTGTGTAAACCTGTATGAACCCAGACCAAGTATGATGCTCGTTTTGTCCTACTTTAGACTCGCTTGCTGAATATGCCTGCACTCCAGTGAGTGAGGTTCTTCCCACTGAACCTAGTTCCTATCGCTTCAAACGCCAGAGCGTTATCCACTAGGCCACTGGAATACCAACTAAGGTGACCTAAACATGTAATACGTATTCCAAGCTACTACAAACTAAGTCGATACGCAACGTTACTCAAATTATGATTGCATTGGAAGAAAGCTAAGGATGGTCGGACCACATAGCTTTTAATGATAGAAAGTAAAGTTTCGTTTTTGTTCTAGTCTAGCAGTTTAAATGGAAACTCATAAACACTTCTCACGCGTCCACGTTCTACAGTTCTTTTTTTCATTTCATTTATACGAGCTTCACAATATTATACGAGAAGGAAAAAAATTGTCTAAGGATAGCATTCATATTTATCATCACGCTACTTGTTTTATCACTGAGACACCTTCATATTCACCATCATATGCCAGATGTATAACAGAAGAACGCACTGTAGTATTACATGATTACTGTATGTGAATGATATGGAGAAGCTGAAGTTGACTGATCACCACCACCTTTGAAACATCACGTGACTGTTCCGTCTGAATTAACTGGGACACTTTAATGATAATTTTTACCTGATTAACCGCCAACTACATGTAATTGACAAGTTTAGGTGGAAAGAAAAGTGAATTGAGGAAGGACTTTCAAAACAGTTAAGTAAAATTATAGTTTCGGCCTATGTAGTCAATCTATATGAATGGGAGTTACAGTTTGTCATTTGTTTATTTGATCCATCATATGAAGTGTTATTACAAGTTGATTGCAATCTTCTACCCTTACTTTAGGTGATAAAAGGGATATTATTCCATATCTGTTTATTATTATTCTTTTATTCTTCATCTATTTCTCTGTCTTTAGTAATAATATTGTCTACGTTGATTTATTTTGTCTGATCTATTAACAAATAAACATACTAACTTATTTAATCCTCCTTTGATGACACTAGCGATTGATAGCAAAACATTCTGTTGTCTTACAGAACTTTAGAATAAAGAATGACAAATGAGAATTTGAGAGTTTTATAGGTGATTTGCCACAACTGGAATGGAAGCTTACTGTGGAAAGGTTCTACATGAATCGATATTCTTCCTTTTCTATTGATACTTTTAATTTCCCGTTGTATTAAACTGGACCGGACTAATAATCAGTTTGTGAAAGTACATGAGTTTCGTGACACATCACCCCAATACAAAAAAAGAGTTTCGTTTTGATATTATTTACTTGGGGTTGATTGATAGTAGAATCCAGGATGAGCATATCCTTGTGTTTCAGACTTGATGTTTCAGTGAGTGATCATGTCTTCACTGAGACTCAATATATCGTTTTCTAGGAGGTTCATATACTAACCAGTTTTGATCAGATCAATTCAAATAAATAAACAACGGGACGGAACCTCGACCACTCTCGGTTTAAAGATAAAATATGAAGCTATGAAGTGCGTTGAGACTTCACATACTCGGCAAGTTGTATTCGACTGAACGGGATGGTTTCTGATGAGATTTCGACTTGTATAAAGAACGCCTGTTTGACATTTGTCAACTTGCATCATCTCTTGCACCGACTGGCGAAATATCCGACTAGCTACTACAGGACGAGCATACTGAGCTGAAGTCTGTTCTGTTCCCCTATATGGAACATGACCGTTAAAATTAGAAGATATAAAGCGACCGCAGGTTTTGACCTCAGGTATCTTCGTAACGTTGCTTAAGAATGGTGGAGTCATCATGTCAGTAATGTTTAGGTTAGGCCCAGGGTACTAAACAAGGAAACCAAGTGAGTCGATGGGGTTGTAAACTTTTACCAAGGGAGTTGGCTCGAATATATTTTGCACATGCCGGGCACCGCCTACCTCAGCATGCAAAGCTAGGAGAATATGGATTAGGTCGAAAGAAGGTTCAAGGCGATCAGACCAAAACGGCCAGTAATCGACGAACTCTCTGACTATTGATCAGAGCCGTATAGGGAGATGTAGACCACACGGTTAGGGTCCCTGAGATGATAGGAATCGGTGATTGAGGACTCTTAGAGATATGGCTAAAAACTGGTCATGATGATGCAGACGTATTCACCATCTGATGTCTTCTAAAACTTGAATATTTTTACTAACCTTCATGCTCGAGATTCTATGTCGATTTTGTCTATCTGCCTGAAAAAAGACAATAAATAATGACTGAAACCTATTGCGAAAGACGAAACTGTCATAACTCTAACTCATTAGATACTATCCTAACACTGAAAGCGATGGGTACTAGGTTTAAGTTTTAGCAAGAACACAATCATTCAACAGGATAAAAAGGCATCCAGTTGATGAGTCGCATATAGGATGAAACACCTCTTCTAGATTCCAATGTCAGTCAGTATCAAGCAAATAAAATATTTTTCATCTCCTTATTCTAATACTAAGACTACCTTCGTTAATAGTCAGATTACAAGTGATTGGAATTCTCATAATAAGTAGAAAACATCAAATAATACTTACAGTTGACAATCCATATTCATTTAAAGTTGCATGTTCTAACAGTATGGTGTTAACATTTCTAAAATAAAAACAATTACAGACTGTTGTATTTCTTAAAGTGTAACCACCTACTTATCAGTAAGAACACCACGTGTTAAAACATCCTCTGTAACAGATGAAATAAACTTCAAGTAGTTCACCTCTTTTTTTCTGTGTAGAACAAAAAAGAAATAAACCAAAACGGATCATTATTATTGAAGCTAAACGTTGGGTAATACCAAATATAAGAAATGAACTTTAGTTGAGAAAGTCTATTGCTTAATAATTTTATGACAATAATTTTATATAGTTTAGTTCATCCTAAAACAATTACATTGTTTGATCACTAGAAACCAGCCAATGTCATATTATCTATGTCCTGATCAAATTCTGCTATTTGAATTTTCACTATGATCAGCAGGCTAAGAAGCCCACAGTCATGTTGCATTTTGGTTACTTTTAAGATGGTTGGAGACGGTTTACTTGCTTGAGCTTGTTAGAACTCATCAGTAAGATAAACTCGCAATGACTACGTCTTCAAATTTCACTATTAAATAAAACGGCACTATCATAAGTATTTCAAGCGGAAGATTGATGTATCTTCTGATATGAGAAGTTTTTTTTCGGTTTGATATACAGGAGTATGATTTGGAATTGTCTGTCGAAATAGGCAGTCCTTGAGAAATGTTTTAAAGTCAAGAAAGCTCTATGTAACCATACTTCAGGTAGAGTGACAACATATAATCAGCCTTCTCCATTGCTCCAAAACAACAATAAATTTATTTAACGTTGCTAGATTCCGGTGTTTTTCTTTAATTTTGCTATGACTAATGGCTCTGAGGAGAACTTTACTGGTCGTAAAAATCTCTTACCTGCAGTGAGGATATCCGACATTGAGTATACAGCCCATAATGTTTTATGCTGCATAATGTATGACACACTCACATAGCCACACATTATTAAAAGACTGAATTTCTTTCATAAGATCAGCGAGAGCCTATGCTTGTACACACCTTTAGTGGTAAAGTGTCAGGAAATGTCAAATGATTGTATCTGTAAAGTCTTAGGAATGATGAGAGGCAAATTCACATGCCGAAATAGGTTAACTTTTTGATACTCTTCATCAAGGTGTATCTAGAAACTCGAATAAAATGATATCCCCCCAGATATTCGAATTTACTCCACCCAATGCTACAGGTGAAGACATTAGCTATGAGCCATTAGGTTGGTGATTGACCTCGTGTATGAATGCGTTACATATCTTCGTTGATCACAGGATGAAATTTTAAAACAGGATTACTACCCAGCTTTTTGTCTTGATATAACCATAACACGTCTTGTTGTATAACAGTGAGTCCTTTGGGATCATTTGAAGCATTTATAAAACTGATTATCGTATAGACAGTGGGTTGTATCCTAACAGAAATTGACATATTTCCCTTAGTTTAAATAAACGCTGTATGAACCATAGAATTCTCTTACTTTTTCCTTTTGAGTTGCATGCAATATGACTACTTAAATTTATTATCACGTAGGTGTTTTCTTATCCCGGAAATATATAAGCTAACAGGGAAATAGTCTGATTCCACCTGTCACGATATAATTATGCTCCTAGACAGAATATTCTACCATAAGTAGCAGTGAGGATTAATTCGCCTGTGAAAAACAAAAACCTAAGCTTTCCACTTTTCACCAGCCTGACTTTGATTGATTTTTTTTCTTTGTCTATTCTTATAGTACACACCTAGTTTTATGACAACTGTAAAAGAGATAGCACTGTTTTTGGAAATATGCACTGCATATTGGACAACTGATACAAATTTCGTACAAAACATTATATTACTTATAGTAGACAAAAATGGAAATGAAATTTATCAGTATGATTTTGAATGACTACTTAGTAGGACAGCACTTAATCATCAAGATGATATGAAATATTATTTCCCAGACCCTTCGAAAAAAACGAGAGGTCCGTGAAATCTTTCAGAGCAAATCAACACACTTCGAATTCTTGCGAAAAACTAAATGATCATACATACAAATATCAGATTAGTTAATAAGACAAAACCAACAGAGAATGCCTTTCATAAAAGCTTAGAAACAACGGAGACCATATATGACGTATACCGCAGTATTTTGATTTGTAATTCATCGGGTAATGAACCTTGTGCTATCTTACAACCTTTTTAGGTAGGGTAGGGTAACATTACAGTCATCTAAATAGCGATGTGGCCAATCCTACTGGCTGGTACATTTTCAATTATGACAAATAATAATAATACTGATGAATCATTTGAACTCCATAACGTGCCTCTGTATAGTAGAAAATAATATCAATGAAATAATACTATGGAATTAAACATCCAAATATACCTTCATACAGATGGATAATGTGTAGTGTTAGAGGATAATGAGTGAAGCTTATCAGGAAGTCACAGCCGCAGTAGGATTTAAACCAACGGTCACATGTTTCTAACTCTGCGTAAAACTACGTCGAGGTGATTGACCTTTTAGCCTATTGATAACTGACATTTTTGAGCATAATTCGTTAGTTCACTCTGATTGGCTGCTTTTTGTGGTTGCTGTTATTTTATTGGATGGAATAAAAACTTGGCACTCAGCCATGTTGAATTTGTTACTTTGATTGATGGAATGTGACAGTATTATTAGACAAAGATGAACTTATCATGGGACTAGCGATTTGTTTGCTTTGTTTCTGAGATGACCAAAGATTAACAATTTTTAGAATTCTCACAACTTAAAGCAACAACTGCTCTCTCTCTCTCTCTCCCTCTATTATTTTACCATTTTCTTTGAAGGGAAGCTAGATAAGCTAGATAGCATTACAGATACACTCTACACAGCTAAAACATCATGAAACAACAATACAAACTGGGTAATGTTGGATCAATATTTAACTTTGACTTTAGATGACAGGGACTGAAATCTCTAAGTAGTAATCAGTATCTCTGAGGTTGCAGATAAGCCTTACTAACGGACAATAATAACCACGAAACCTGGTTTCAATGCTTTGCTTTCATCAGATGGTTGTCATCAACCATCTAGCACTAAACACAATGCACTTCGATGACATCCAGTCATTTATTATAGTGGTAAAATTTGTAAACGTGGTCAGTATATTACAGTAGGAGGTATAAGATAGTTCAGATAAAGTTTAAAAAAGTAATAACTCACAAATTTTCGACAGATATTTCTCGCTCTATGGGTTTATTTATCATTTGTAAACTCATATTATCTTTGACTATCTTCTTTTCAGTAATCAGTCTTTCAAAATCCTCTTCATCATGACTGTTCGATAAGACAACCTGGAAGAAAAAAAAGAGAAAAATCAACTAAATAAAACACTGTACAGTTTGATGGATAACCAAATTATCTATAGTAGTCTATGTTGGTTCGAATTCCTCAGAAAGAATTACAGTAGGCTGCCTCAGTATAAACACAATCATGGCTATAGTAAGTCAGCAACCATTTTCCTTAGAAACATTCAACACTGAAATAATACAAAAGGAGAAGACAGATCTTCAGACAGCTTATTTTAGCACATGCTTCAGCGGGTTAGAACACAAGCGTATAAATACATAACTGCTCATCATTTCCAAGAAAAAAAAATATTCAACTATGTAAAGCAGCGTCAACTAATCCAAAAATGCGACTGAGAAATATGGGAATAACGATAGACTTTGTGATGTTGCAAGGGAAGTGAGAAAAACACTATTCAAATTGCATAAATAATGAAATTCTTTTAAGATTGAATTCTAAGGCACTTAAGCATGTGACTGAATGAATTTATTTAAAATATATTAATAAACTCGTCCTAATACATTAATTGTGTATGGTAGTGACTACAAGAGTTCAGGTCTCTTTAGCACGTTGATGAACTGCACAAAGATAAGCAAAAATGAAAGTTAACGAAGTGATGAACTCAGTAGCCTATTTGTTAATCCAGTATTTCAATATCTTCTACCTCACAGACTGACGTAAGATATGGAGAAACTTAAAAAAGTAGAGAATACTTGATACGTACTCTTCACTCTATTATGTAACATCAAAATCACATGAAACTGAAGCGTTTCTTGATCAGTAGTGAGGACAAATGATCACTGATGACACTACATGACGATTGTTTTATTACAAACTGACATAAGCCACTAAATTCAATACTTCATTTAGTTTTTCTTTAGCTAGTGAACATCCAAGAGAAGTCACAATACAAAATGATCTATGAATTTTGGTTAGTACTTAGGATAAGGCAATAGGAAATTAGTTAATTTCTACTGATGAATCACTGTATTTTGACTCTATTTCCGAAACAATTAATGTATGTCAACACAAGAATGTATATGGCTGTTAACTCAGCTTGCTACTTACACATTTCTTATGTCAATAAATTTCTCAATCAAATAGTACTGTCAAATTCATCAATTATGCTAGTCGCTTTAATAATGCATTAGTCTCATCAGTTAGTTATTGGTGATCTGATAAAATATGGTATCATTACGGTCAATGTTCTAGGAATCACCAACTGAATAAAACACAAGGTGAGGTATTAGCAAATTTTTTTAATTAGCAGTCTCTTTAACCTACCTCAGTACAGTAGAAGACGAATAACTTTGAAGGCCACCCTAGTAAATAAGCAAATAACCTAATTAGATTTTTAAATTTTGGCTAGAAAGATGCCTTTTTGATGAAATAAAGAGACTTAATTGTCTAATTCAGTAGTTGTTAGGATGGCCTTTAGAATCACTTTAGAAGACAACGACTGACTGATAACTGTTCTTCTATAGCTGCGGTCTGACTCGTGTTTATTTACAACTGAGTTACAGTTCCACAACACCATGATTCATAGAAATAAAATAACTGATTTCATACATAGATAGTAGAATAATGTATAATAACTGACTCCCACTAAACATAAAGTTATTTTGAAACCATGAGTTGTTTGAAAATGATTGAGATTTCGATTGGAAGCTCTTCAATTGAGTCATAATACAAATGCTATTAGATATTTCCTAGATGAAATTTTCTTGAAAAAAAATAATACTGTCAAAAGTGTTTATCTGAAATTCTCATTTCGTTTTCTCGGTCGCTTATAAAATAGTCAAAATTAATCTGCAATGTATGTAGACAGAAAATGTCAAATCTTAATAAAGAATTCGACAACATGGTGAAGTTACTGAGTCGACTGAAGATGTAAGTAAATAAATAAGGATAGTGAACTCATGAATATGCTCGAACTGTACGCGAACAAATATTGGCCTCCTAATATAAAAGTTAAACTTGAGTACTATGGTAGAATGTAGTTCCAGTTGAGTTGGTACATATAGTAAGTCAAATGAACTGGATCGACTGCACGTTCCCCCTATCATCACCAGTACTTTATACTTTAGTGAGTCAAAAGTATTGTCCACTAAAATCACGCTGATTATACACCGGTACTGACCACCAATTGAATCTCAGGAACTTCTACTTCGAAGACCAAACAATTAAAAGCCTTATTTATATTTTTCCTACTTTCTGTTGTACAGATAATTAGATCTTAAAATTTCTTACTGCTGATTGACCGAAACGTTTTCACAATGTTTTGGTGCATACATGGAGGTCTTGATAAAAGATAACGTCTTTTTGTATTTGAAATAACCGATAGTATGTCTTAATGGAAAGGAAAAACACTTACCAGAAAGCAATTACATCCACTTAACATATAGATAATGGAATAACTTAAGTGATAATCAGTACCAGGTAAGATCAAGAAACACAAACCACCTTCCTTAGACAAACCTAAACATCATGCGTGTAATATTCTTGAGTGGTAAGTTGTCCTCAGAATGTCACCTAGTAAATAACACTTCAGCACAGTTTGCAACAACAGATAAACAAACGTAATATGTTCAGTTTGGGGTTTGTGAGGATTTGTTTATTGATTTCAAGTTGATATTCATCATGGACTGGCATCAGTTAGAGAAACACTGAAAACCTGAGGGCACTTGACAGCTGTTTCGTCCTAGTATAGGACTCGTCAGCAGTGTGTACTGATGAACCCACCCACCAGGGATAGAACCCAGGATCTTCAGGTCCCATAGTAGAACGAAACAGATGTTAAGTGCTCACAGGTTTCTAATGGTTCTCCAAGTGATGTTAGTCCATTATCAATATCAACCTGAAATCGACAAATAAATCCCTATAAACCTCCAAATTGAATTAAAGTCTAGTAATCATGAGTGACTTGTTTCGAGATGAGATTTGCCAAAGTTCTAGTGAGAATTCTTGATCGATGAGGCCAACCAAGTCGGATGTTAGGATAGTTACTCAGCAATGGCACTGGATGTAGGTCACTGTATGTCATGAACCGACAGAAGTAGGGAATGTAGACCACTGGATTCAAACGAGTGGCTCAACGGAAACGTTCAGGCCGCGGAATTTGAAGGCCAGATGTTCGACTCCTGGTGGGAAGGGTCATGGGTGTGCATCCATGAAGAGTTCTACACTAGAACGAATAGGCTTTCAGCACTCTCAGGTTTTCAGTGGTTCTCCAACTGATGTCAGTCCACGATGAATATCAACCTTGAATGTAATATGCAATTACCTTTTATCAGAATCCTTAAATTCTACTACAATAGTAATATTTACTTTAGCATATTAGGCTATAACTCTTTATAAACTTAGTACAGCAGTAGGGATCATCACTCTATTTAGTGTACGTTAGTTTGATCACACCTTTAACTCCTTAGCAAACTTCGGTTAGCAGTGTTATACGAAGTGATTAACAATTGACTTTCTAGCAAAGTGAGCATAAAGTACGTATACACATAAGTATTACCTCTGGTTTATGAACTGAATTGTTACTGGGTAAAGTGCTTAACCATTGGTTAACTTTTCCAAAATTATGTGATCCATCAGATATTGGAAGCTTTTGTGAGTATGTCAAGGAAATACGCTTCTGAGGAGCCAATAGCATACTAGACAAAATATTAGACTGTTTTGTAGAGTAAGTGGATAAACGTTTTTCCGAATGTGAGTAAATAACATGATCGTGATTTGTATTGGGATCTTTTGGTATGGCTTTTTCTTTTATACCTAAATCTGAATTTAACCAACAAAAAAAAAAAGAATGATTGATATGCAAGATAAATGAAGCTTTACTTTGCATACAATCGAATATTTAACCTAGAGTATGCATTAGTACCACTTAATAATATCAAACGTCTTAAAATCAATCAACCCAGATGAAAGTCCAGTTTGCAATATTACTGAATACTAATAAATAGGATCAACCAACCTAACAAAAGGTGAACTCCATTGACCAGTAAACTTCTAGATAGATTGAAGAATGCACAAGAAAATTCTCAGGAGGAATAGAATGTGTTCATTGCTTTCAGATAGACAGATAAAATCAATCTAGACTCAACAAAATCAGTTGATTCAAGTTACCACACACCATAATATTCAAAGAACAGGTGGATAGAAAAAGACTGGTATCGAAGTAGACAAAAGTGTATGGCAGGAGAAACAATTTGGGAATGAAGGTTAGTGAAAGTGTTTAAGCTTTAGGAGATGTCAGAGTGAATATGTCTGCGCCATTCAGTCATGTAACCCACAGACCCCAACCACTGATTCCTATCACTTCGGCGACCCATGTTAGGCAGTCTACACCTCCACATACGGCTTATATCAACAGTCAGAGAATTCGTGGAACGGTGCCACATTTTCGTCTGGTTATCCAGAACCTTCTTTCGATGCAGTCGGTATATCCATGTGTCCCGATCACCACGGTCAGTAAATGTTCACAACCTCCTCAACTGACTTGTCTATCTTGCCTAGTACCCTGCACTTAACCTCGACATTTTTCACATGCTGATTCCATTATACGTGACCAATGCTGTGAAGACAACTACGGTCAAACACCTGTAATCCTATCTTCTTCTTTCAGTGGTCATGTTTCACAGCCGTATAATAAGACAGGGAAGACTGCAGCGCAGTATACTCGTCCTTCACTAGGAAGCTGCATATCTCGCTCTTAAGGTTATTTTAAATAAGATGACCAACATATCATAAAACTGACAACCACAACTCAAATTGCACATCCTTCTGATAAAGTCTACTGGAAAATTACTAGATAATTTTTTTTCAAGCTATGTTTACAACTAATAACGTTCAAATGATAGATTTCAAACTCCACTCTTTAAATGTAAGAAAAACAAAAAGGCGATTACAGCAAAGATAATTCATTTCCAAGACTGTACATTAATTAATAGATAACTTTGAGAGATAAAACTTCGCAGAGGGCTTTATGATCAAAGTCAATAGAACAATAGACAAATTTCGCAAAATAGTGTGTGAGTATTAAGTGATGCGGGTAAACTTGTGGAGTTTCTCTCGAAACGTCGTTCAGGATCCTCCCTGAGATGACAGGAATCAGTGGTTGAGGACTCTTTGTGATAGAGATAAAAATCAGTCAGTATATTCACTTTTAGACATCTTGAATATTTGTATTAACTTTCACCTTCAAATTGTCTACTCTCTCTACTACATACCTTCCTCTACTTTGACATCAGTCATTCCCATCCACCTGTTCTTGGTATGCTAATCAAAAGTGTGGCAACTTCAACCGATGCATTTATGTGTGGGGTTCTACTTTGATTTTTCTGTCTGTCATTCTTCTATTGACTTTGACTATAAATTTCCTCGAAACTTCCTATTTTCTAATCATTTATCAATGATTATGAAGCTTTGTAAATGAGACTTTCAAAATATTTGGCCCAACTACCTTTTTTCCCTACATTTGTAGTATAACTTAGTACTCAAATGGCATCCTTTGAAGGTAACTGACGAGAAATTGATAAAATAAAACGATACTTGAAGCAGTGCAGGATATTACACAGTAGGCTATCATCTCAACTTGTCACACGCTGCAATAGTACAGAAACAGGTAAACAGAAAGAGAATGACACTAAACTGTCTTTGAAAATTCCATCAGAATATAGAGAATACATACAGGAAAGCCAATAGAATGTTCACAATCTCGACGATAATAATGACCGAATATATCGGCACTCCCGTAATTGTTTTCAGGCCATATCAGTCTAAGTATTCAGCCATTGACTCATTATCTCGATATCCCAAGTCAGGCAGCCTACACTTTTATACACAGGTTGGATCAAAAGCTAAAACCTGTATCCGTCGGCAACAACTCCTAGTCAGGCCAATCTTGGCTCCTATCTAACATAATCCTAATTACGCTACCATCGTACATTAGGATACACCTTGGCTGAGCATGTGTAACACACGTCCAAATCATCTACTTCCAATCTAAAGCACTGCTCGCTTAGTGGTTCGATCAAGCACAAGTAATGCTACGAAAACACTGATAGTCAAACATCTGTGACTCATTCAAATGTTACACCTCCAAAGGCTACATCTTACAGCCATGCTATAGAAAAACTTCCCTACTTCCTCATAAACTGAAATGATCAGCGACCAGAACTGTCTGAAAGGTTAAACGTTTTGTGTAGCGACCGAAAAAAAATGCAATTTTTTATGCATTTGAATCTGTTTGTGTGATATGGTATATCTTTTGTCATCCTAAAATAACATTATATTCCATTTATTTTCCCTTACCAGATACAAAATAACATTAATTATCGTGTGAAACATCAAAATCCTTTTTTAAAAAAGAAAATTGAAACAGTGGACTGATTACCTGAATTCGTTGGCCGTCGACTGATAGATTTTTTTGACCGTATTACTGGTTTAACATCTAAAATCACCTTGGAATCAGGTTGACAAATACGAACAACTCTTTTTGGAGGATTGTAACATCTTAAGCCGATTAGTTTTGATGAAGCATTAGATTTAATTGTTCTTGGAGAGAATAGTTTAGGATTAGTGAATTTATTATGATGAATATCCATCACATCTTTACTGAACGACTGACGTCGATGTACAGTCTGTAGACATGAAATACAAATAATTAACGTAGAATATATATATATAGTCTTCTTCGATTTACTAAGGTCAGTGCAAACAAAAGCATGAAACAAGAATTCTCTATTTACAAAGAATCTGTGGTTAACACTGGAATTCTCTGGTGACATAATTTCACCCACTCTATTACAACACTAGCTTTTCCTCCAGTTTTTAGTTTCACGCTAAACGTTATACAGAGTTCTACTCATTGCATTTTATTGCACTTTACCTTTTGATTATTGCTGACTTATCTGATTCCATATTTACTCAATCTCTCCATTTAATTCCCTTTATATTCGCTCCACTACTCTTCTCTCGTTTCTACGTAAACTTCCAGTAAGATGATTATTTATGACGTCATAATGTGATATTTTAATTTACATTTTTTAACTCCCTCACTTCTCAGTACAATCCTTATATTTTGCCTTATTCAGTGACTGAGTTCCTTCTTGTAGGCTAGAAAATTTCAGATTTCTGTTGCTCCAGATGGTTGTTTTAATCACTATAAGTTGCATACAGCAGAAGAAAACCGACAAAACAATGAAATGAATTCATATTTTTTCAGCAAATGTTGGTAATCTCACTGAGAATTCCGGAGCTGTGGCTCAGTGGTTTAGGGAGATGACTATCAACTGGTGTGTCACGGGTTCGAACCTCACTCCACCTACCGACATTTGGGCATCCAGGTAGTATCAATAGCCTTTACACAGCAGGTGTGACTCATTGCCTGCCGCACGGTTGTACACAAGATGACTGAGAGCGCTCCAATCCCTTCCGATTGTCATGTTTCATAAAAACCTATGCTTATAATAAATTACAATCTTAACAATAATCAAAAATTTGATCACAAAGGTTACTAACCCTTAAAGCTGCCTCCTGTTATAAGTGTAAAGTTTCACTGAACTGGTTTTAAAGTATGTAGAAAACGTCACATCAAAACTACAGTAATTTGTAAAATGATGTTGCAAGTTTTCCAGTTTCTGTACGAACAGAGCTTAAAGTTATTTCAATCATAGAACAAAAATATTCCGGATTATGTCAAGACAGCAGACCAAATATTTCATGACAAATGAAAAAAGGGGTTTTTCTTGGATTTTATTGCTTCATAGAGCAATACATTTGTATAGACAAAAACCAAGTATCAACAGGTTTGCATTCACTTGTTTTTAATCTAACTTCTGGATTTGATTAAGAGCTATCAGCACACAGAACTCTATATCTCAACAAGTGGTTACAGCCTTCACTATATTCGTATTTAAGAGACAAATTCTCATCTTCAAGAATTATGCCACACGTTTGACGATGTGTTTACCATCTTATGCATAGGTTCTCTAAACACTACATGTGAGTCTTTGTGATGCAAATCTACTGTAAATTTTAGAGGGTAATCGTCGTCTGACTCCTTGAGTAACAAGCTTATTTGATGGAAAATGAATTCAAAAGTTAAGAGCTTCTGATTCTTCAGACATATCGTAGACAAAGAGGTGGTTTCGCATCATGATGTCAAAATATTGTTTCAAGTGTTAATATCTACTCCTTTTCTTTTCCGAATATAAGAGTAAACAAGAGATAATAACACTATTGTTTAAAAGCCAGGAACAACCACAATCGAGAAGTTTTCCATTCCGACCCAAATGACAAACGTTTAAAAGGATTCATGTCCGCAGAATCAAAACGTATAAAATTCAGGATAAATATTTTTATATAGTTAAGATAGATTTTTTATAAGACTCGTTGTTATTCTGCTTTCAAACAGAATAAATAAATCCTAGGTGCCTGTTTCCGCCCTTCATAGGCACATATAAAGTTTTACCTCCGTTGGTAGAAAAACCTGCTTGCCATCATAGTTGGCAGCTTGAGATCCTCCAAACTAATTTTATGTGCATACTGAAGTACCAAAGACTTTTCATAGTGCACACAACAATTTCGTAGCTAACAGGAGCCAATTTTTGAGAAATAGGAGAGTAAAAACAAAAATCAGAGGGTTTCATGTGTGAATTACGAATTTGACTAACTTTATTGCTGAAACAATCCCCCTCTAGCTTGCGGAGACTGGCGGGTCCACGATCGGAGCAAGTGTGCTTCCCGAACGCATTTTCACCACCAGCACTTTGCAAATGGTGCTCGTTGTATGTAAATGGCTCTGTATACTTCGCACAATCGTCAAGCAAAAACTTTCGGACAATCTCATCAACCTCAGGATCATCTGAAAATGTATTTATCTAATTTTACGTTGAAATACTGTAAGACCTTACAACATTCTGGCTGCAGAAACCATTTGTTTCCGGTCTACCAGAAAGTGGTTGTCTACAAATTCTTCGAGAAGACTTCCGATAGCCCCTAGCTATGAAAGCAACTTAAAGTTTGCTTTAATTACAGAAACTTACTGGTAGGGTTATTAATAAATGAGTATGGTGTCGAATTGTCAATAGACGCTGAAAAAGACTATGAAAAAATTACTGGTTTACCTTTTGCAGACTGAATGCTTTTATAATGGGCATTTAGATGTTGTTTGATTAATATTTGGGAAGAAACTTTACACTTCCGTGGAAAAATTGCTAAAATACCCAAATAATGTATATTTCAAGAAATGCAAATTACCACTATGACTTTCCAAGATATCAAAGTTACTCTGAGAAGCAACTGTCATTACCTTACAGACACCATTTACTAAATGTTAGATGTTGCGCGCACATACGGCTCACCACAGCATCTACAGACGCCTAAAATGAGTACTTTAAACAAACAACCCCTCCATATATCTGTTAAACTTGTGATTCCGAGACCTCACAAATTTTAAGATCTGAGAATTGTTGTAGAATGAATCTGCGGGTTACAACGCGTGCTCTGTAATTCAATAAACTTGAGCGCCACCTTGTAAAGTACGTCATCTATGGTGTAGATAGTGATAAAATTTTCAACAGCTTCATCCAGGATGTTTGACGTTGACTTAAAAGGTTAGGAATCACCCGCAACGCATTTAATAGATGTTCTGTTGTTCGGTTTGAGTACTAAGTTACATCCACGTGACACCATTTCTGTACGTGGAATGTCACTGGTGGTCTTTGTAGTGCGGCTCTGTTTATAGGTCCTGATGGTGATTAATCCTTGCACTTTTTTAAGAACTGGTGGAGAGATCCCGTGGTTTGATAATGATAATGATGATATTTATTCCTAAATATACAGGCACACACCATTTTTACAGGTATGAACAAGTTTTTATATCAGTTACGTGTGTCTTCATGGAAGGTAACCTGAATCCCTGCCCATTGTCAGTAGAAGACATAATTGCCGCATGTTTATATGATGGAACATCCCAGCAGAATTATTATCCAGAAATTTACAAGTTGGACGAGAGGAACTACTGTCTTCCCATTGGCAAAAACCAGGTTTGTATCTCCACACTACATGTATTACCTGGAGAAAAATGAAGCTTGAAGCTAATACTTCCACTGTGACAGTCTGTACAAGTGGAAGATGAGTAAGTTGAGCGTTGCGTTCAAATGTAACAGCTGTCCATATGAGTGATGCCTTTTGGAGGTACAATAACACTTTTATTTCCCGATATCATTGACAATTCATGTACTATCTGCTGACATTGCACTCTGTCGCCGTGTTTCTTTCGATTAGAATATCGGCACATAGGGCAACTGTTACCTCTCTTACCAGGTTTCAATCAAGTACCGTTTCTTAGCTCTTGCACACTTCGTCTTGAGGTTTTTACAGTTGAACTCCAATGTTTGGTGGGTAGGCGTAAAGTGCATACACCGTCTGTAGCAGCTAACGCCCTCTGACCGGTGCCAAAAAAGTTTGCGGTGCATTGGTGGCTGGGGCTCTCTGGAAGCAAGAATTCGATATTCCATATGGCTCGATGAAAAATAAAGTAGATGAAGAGCTCAAGCACTTGAGCTGCTCCGCATCTTTCGGCTAAAGCTTCGGGTAAAATCGACTAGGGAATGGTTTTTAACTCCGGTTACGCTACAATGAATAGTTTTTCTGGAAGAAACCGCATTCAGCGTAATGCGCTATCGTTACGCATGTTCATGCGTAAAAACCGTGATGAATTTGCAAGAAGTTATGTAAAATAACAGACAAGGATACAGACGCCCATTACGAACAGCATCTCTTGACTATAGATTTGATTCTATGTCTGTCGGGCTCTGAGGAGTCGTAGAAGCTGCTCACAGCTCCTGCACACGTGAACGAATGACAGACACAATGGTGGAGATAAAGTAAAATGAGCTGCGGAGGTTGCTCGATACATCAAGACCTTCTACACGACTGACGGCGGTGACCAAGTAACAATTACACACTCCACTGACTGACTGTTACTAAACCGTTATGACTGGAAGGTGAACAGCCTGACCACTTACCTCTTGATGGGGATCAGCAGGACATGGATGAGGTGGGACAAAACGCCTCAATATTAGGTTAAGACCATTTGAGGTGAAAACCACATAAAGGTACCTTCATAGATCATTGTATTTGCCGACATAGGGTGGTGAATTATCTGTGACAAATAGCCAAAACTCACTTGAAGACAGGAGACCACTCTGTATATTGTCAGTGTGCAGGTGGCAGTCAGCTAAAAGGAGACATGAAGTGGCAATCAATCATGCATCAAAGACTACTCAGTAAAATAACCTCAAGAAATTTTGAGCTTTCAGTGGCTCCCCACCAGATTGCTGAAATAACAAGTTTTATATTTCTTAAATTATTCCAGACATTTTATTTTAGTGTCAAAGGTGTGAACCTCATTGCTCCGCGCCTTTTGCCCAGATATTGTATGGCCCTTCATATAACTTCTAAGCGTCTGAATAATAAGTTTTCAAATGACTGAGCAAACACAAAAGATATGTCAATATCGGGTACATAATCTGCCATAGTGCGATCGAGTGCCTCTATTCTTGGCCGGATTAATTTGATGTGCGCTCACCGGCCCAGAGAAAACCGCCATTTTGCACCTCCTCTGTCCCTTCATAGTCTGTAGTCCAGCTGTTAATAGCCAAATAAGTTACAACCACTTCCTTAGAATAATTCCTAACCGTAGATTAACAAATACATTGATATCCTGAGTGTTTTAGTTATCTGTCGCGTCCTCTTACCAGTCTTTTTTATTGTATATATGTATATAGGTAAGGTGGTATTAAGTTTGGTGATGATGCATATCAGTTTATGCAGTGCTGGCCACACGTTAGGTAATACGACATCACTTACCTCGTACACACCCAAGTATTTGAAAGATGAGTGGTATAGAGCGCTTTCTTTCAGGGGAGGCTGTTCTCTGAGCTAGGGTTTCAGCAAGCAAACTTATTATTGTCATGCGAAACATTGTCATCGGTGCATCAGATTCATAAGGAAATATCTGATAACTAAAATCTCAGCTAATAGACCAACAAACCTTGAGAACTCACACCCTGGGAAAAATGAATAAATGTTCTATTCTCAGGTTGTGAATTTAACATGAGATAATGGTAGATAAATCCAAAAGATTTGAGCACCATTGAATGGTACAGAGGGGAGGAGACTAAACTGTCATGATATCAAGTGTCTGAAAACCATGAAAACAGCGGGAAAGTGCCGCATTAAGATATACAGATATTGTTTTGACTCCAGGTCATTCCTTATCACAAGTCTTCACATTAGTGCGGCATCAAACCCGCGCAGCGCTCAGTGTTTGCGTTATGAGTAGTCGACATGATTGACTGGTTTGCAAAATCCAATGTTCCGTCGGATAAACGTTCTATTTCAACAGTAATTCTTGTGTTCATGGCTTTACTGACCACAAACAACTTACTTCAGTGATTGCAGGAATAAGTTAGCATCCATATAATCATTTAATCTAGGCAAATGTCTTAGTTCAAGCATTTCTCACCCTTGTGCGCCTAATCGTTTATCCAGATTTCCACTACAATTATGACCGTCCAGAAATATGAGACCAGTTACTGTGACTGAGGTTACGTATGTGGTGACATTGAGGGTGTTAGTAAGCGGGTGAGTTGATTGTGGGCCCGTTCAAAACATCAAACATGAGAGGCAAGGCATCCGAAGGATTTACTTTAACAATTTATAATATCACGTATGAAGTAGTATTTTCAGTAATCTAATATTTTTGGGCCAAAATTATGTTCAAGTTTGCGCTGAAAAGAGAATGGAAAGTAAGGCATGTGTAGAAACGAGACTAAGCTATCTAGCTCAGGGAACGTAGCACCATCAGAATCCACCTTTTCCATCCTATCAACAAGTTGGTGTCACATGACCTTCCGGGTAAAAACCCGCGCTGACGGTCAGTCGGGATCCAATTGTTATGTAAATATCCATAAAATGAACCATCCACCGCTTTTTGAATAGCCTTTCCAACCAGAGGGATTAAGAAACTCTATCTCTGGTTGTGGACAAGTAATTCGTTACCACCTTTGTTTTCAAGGATGATGGCCACTCGTTTTCAGCCAGTGGGTACTCCACCCTCCAGAAACGAATGTCTGACGAGATTTGCTAGTCGGATAGTTATAACGGTGTGTGAGTACCGCCAGTCCCAGAGGATTTATCGGAATCTAAGTTCCTTGAGATACCCCTGGTTTTGCCAAGCTCAAATTCTATAAAACTTAACTACCATGCTTTGTGAATGACTACCCGGTTTGGAGTTGTCCCTCCCTCTTGGGGGCAATCGTTTTGATATTCTTGCTCCGGCAAGTTAGCTACCCCGCACTTGGCATGACGAATAGCCGGACTACTAGGGTCTTGTATGTCAATTTGAACGTTACTCTTCTTTATCAGAGTGGACAATAGCCGGGAGCTACCCCCAACTTTTCTACCCTGATTTGCCTAGTATTTTATTCAGTCACTTTCGACTTTTGCTACGGACCTGTTACAGATGTGCTCGTAAATTTTCGAGCCACTCATGACATTGGAAACTTTACAGGGTTTCCAAGTTGATGCGTTATACCGGGCAACCTTACGAGTGCTGAATTTAAACCAAAAAAGGAGATCTTTTCACCCTTTTGTGGAATTAAAGAAGTGCTCTTACTTGTCATGTGAATTGTTATGCCCATCGATGGCACTCATCTGGTGTCCATATCAAATGTGTTATTGAGATTTAGGGGAGTAGAGCCGTCCAATTCTTGCTTGACTTTATCATAGTCATATCCGTAATCCCTGACGAGTGGTTGACTGGGCGTAGAGATGACCTATGTACAGAAAAATTGAAGCATACCAACGCATGATCACCCCGTTCAAGAGAGCCGTGGACTATTAGGCTGGATACAGGAATGAAGTGGGTAGTAAGAACTTAGTCTGGTCGGGATACTCCACCGTCTGACCTCGAGTGAGTAGACTGGCAGACGTTTTCATCCAAGTAGTTTTCTAGCATTAGTTCTAGAAATTTCTTAGTTAGGTCGGATGGACCCGTGTCGGTAAACAGATGAAGTTGAAGCCACCCATGTAAGGACCCAAAGAAGGTTCAGATCTACAGCTCTTCTGACGGACTGAATCACGTTCTCACCAAGCGTTGCAGAGGCTTCTAGAGGGAGTACAAGGCACCAGTCAAGCGGAGGCCTCCGTCACACTTCGGGGAGAAATCCTCATGCGCTTTCAGTTAAGGGCATGTGCGAAGCCCAACATCGCCTCCAGATTTCTCCGATACATCTTAGCGGCGTAAACTGAGCTTTTTTGGGAACACTTCACCATTCTTTATCTCACCCGTGAACCATGCTTCACAGATAACCAAAGGTCTAGGACGATCCCCTTCAACTAATGACTTCGTCTCATGTACCTTGAATCGTGAACCTCGCACAATTCTACGGATACAGCGAATGACAGTGCAGAAACCCAGAACCCCAGAAGATGATTGGGTCAGGGTGGTTGTATGGTCAGCCTTTAAAGGTCTG